CATTATCTGCTTTGGCTGGATATTATTACTTTACCAAAGGAGATGTCTCTTTGCCTGAAAGAAGAGGTTGATTATTGCTGAGACAATATGATCAGACTGATATGTGTAGCATCTGTATCAGGAGTTTCAGACAAATGCTCCAAGAATGGGCTATTCGCTTTTACATTTGATGAAGGGCCAGGGAAATTCACAAAGAATGTTTTAAATACAGCAAAGTCCTGCTTGCTCCCACTGACCTTTCATGTTGTTGCCACACACTTGGATGAACAGGCTTATCAAGCTAATTTGAAACAGGCATACGGTGATGGTCATTTAATTGGTCTTCGCTTCAGACCAGAATATAATCCTATGCAATTGACTAATGATCAGTTGGTTGGTATTCTGATCAAAGATTCTGAGAAAGGTATCATCAAAATGGCTTGAGCGTTCGTTCAATTAACTCTTTGGTAGTTTTTGGTCTTATTAAAAAGTATCCAAAGTACTTGAGATTTCCTTATGGACAGTATACTATTGAACATGTGAAACTAGCTCAATCTCTTGGATTTATAGTTACAGAATGGAATATTGATGCTTACGACTACAGCATAGAAGAAGATCCAGTAGAATCTGGATATATTCAAATCGATGATTATATCAGAAGTAAATTGGCAACAGGATCACCTAAAACTGATTCTTTCATTTCTCTACATCGCGATTTGTATACTCCGTACAAGAATATTTCTGGTTTATGTGACACTGCAAGTTTCATAAAAGAAAAAGGCTACGTACTAGTCAAGTTAGCTCAATGTCTTGGTCAGGACGAAGCAAGTTCTCCTTATCGCTCTAGAAATGTTGATACAAGATTTGAAGAAACTGATCCAACAGACTCACAAAATGGTCAGCCTAAGACTACAATGAACTTGGAACCTAAAAGCGATGCTGTAAATCAGATGTTTGCTTTTAATCCGGTTCAGCCACTTGCTTTTTTGTTCGCTGGTGTATGGGCTGCTCTAGTAATTGGCGGTATCATAGTAGCAAACAACTAAGCAATAAAACGGAGATGTTAGCTTGTACTTAAAATTCTCGAGACCATCGTTGCGACGTGGTTGAATCAATCACGTTGCGCGAAACAATATCATTCGTTGTCGACACGATGCTATTAATAAATGATCTTTCTTTTCTTTGCAAAAAAAATGTCTTCCATCAACTCATTCAGAGTGCTACTTATCTCTGCAGTTCTTCTTGTCGTTTGGTTCGCCTTGGTCAGCGAGAAGTATGGTTTTAGAAATCTTCGAGCTCCATGTAAGATTGATTCTGTTCATATGGTTTGATTCTGATCATTTATAGCCACAACTGTTCCAACCTTCTGTTCATCTTCCGGTAAAGTTGGTTTGACATTTGATGACGGTCCTGGTGCACCTACTCAAAGCGTTCTGACAGCTTTGAAGCAAAATGGCTTGAAGGCAACTTTTCACGTAACAACTGAATGGGTGTCTCAAGTCCAAGTTGTAACAAATATTCAACAGGCTGATAAGGATGGTCACGTAGTCGGTTTACGTTTCCCAACCAAATTGGATCCTTCCAAGATGTCTGATGCTGAAATCGAAAAGACTTTGTCGGATGATTCTGAAAAGATCTTCAACATCATCAAGAAGTATCCAAAGTTCCTCAGATTGCCTTTTGGAAAGTATGATAGCAGAGTATTGAATGTCTGCTCTAAAATGGGATTTGTCGTTACTTTGTGGAATATTGATGTGTCTGATTATAGCAAGGATGCTAATGCAAAGAGCATCGTAGGAGCATACAACAATCAGTTGGGCGTTGTTGCAGCTGGTGCAGGTCGTTACATCTCTGTTCATCACGATATTGCTAATGTATATTATGACTCTACCGTGTTGGCACAAGTCGCTTCCACTTTGAAGAACGCAAAGTACACAGCCGTTACTTTGGACAAGTGTTTGGAAACTTCTCCTTATCGTAGCGAAAACCTTGGCGTCGATGGAAAGTCAAATTCTCAGTCTGTCAGTGCTTCAGCAACTATTCCGGTTGGTGATTTATTCGGCATCTTTGCATTGGCTTCATCCATCGTCTTTGTTCTCATGTAAAGCATAGGTCAATATAAAGCATGGCTTCTGAGGCTTCATTTATTTTTAAATCGACATTAAAGCAGACATAATTGCCGACAAAAATCCCATGATCGAGTAAGGCATACTGTGAGAAGCATCATTAGCAGTTTGTCCATTTTTGTTATCTGTGCCAGTAACTTTGCCGTCATCAGAGCATCCCTCGTTCTTGATACGATAAGCACTTGAGTCACCAAGACATTTATCCAAAGTAACAGGTTGATACTTGTAACTTTGAATGTATCTAAACACTTGAAGCAAGTATGTTTGGTTTCTAAACAATTTAAGACGCAAGAACTTGTAATATTACTCGTAAAAAGATAAACCATCATGGTGAACACTAATGAAACGACCAGCGCCTGGAGCCAATGGAGCGAATGCTGTTGCATACCTTGCAATCAACTTTTCAGCAACATCAATGTCTTTCTTGTTCTCTTGAATTTCATAATCATGAGTGTCTATGTTCCACTCAGTGACAACCATGCCCAAGCATTTTGCAATCTTAATTTCACGCTCGCCATACGTTCCGTAAGGAAATCTCAAATATTTTGGATACTTCTTGATCGCACCAAAGATTTTCTCGCTCTGCATCAACAAGGCTTGTTCCAACTCTTCATCAGACAAGTTGGAAGGATCAGATGGGAACTTCAAACCAACAACATGACCGTCTTTTGCGGCAGTTTCAACATTTGTTAGAGCAGCAATATTGCCTTGCATGTACGCTGTAGTAAAATGGAAGGTGCCCTTCACACCAGCGACTCTTAAAGTAGCCAAAAGATCAGAAGTGAACTCACTTGGGCCTTCGTCAAATGAAACAGAAATGTGACCTGCTTTTGAGCAGAACTGAGGCACAGCGTTAACTAATAATTAGTTTCCACTTACAATAGAAAAGTTCTTACCTGGTGCTCTAACATTCAGATTGCTGTATGCCCCAAAGAAGCCATAGTAAATCAAAACGGTAGAAGCAACCAACAAAATGACTCGGAAAGCGTTTAGCATGGTTTTATAAACTGAAACAACAAACAAAATACCGATCATGCCATTTTATTGTTTACGCAGAGCTCCAGCTCAAGCGTCTACATGCTGCGAGCTGGAGTGCGAATGCGCTTTCTTAAAGGGGGTATATCTTGCTCAATAAAAATCCTGCAATATCATTGGCCAATTCGTCAAAAGTACCTGCAATGTCATGTTCATTCTGTTTACATGAGTTGAAACAGACAAAGTTTTGGGCGGTTAAAATCTGTAATTTAGATTGCTTAACTGTTCGGAACAGGGACATTAACGCTGCACGAAATATCAGACACGTATTTTTGGATTTGAATGCAAATGAAGGTAAAAGACCGCTTGCGTTCTCCAGGAAGACTCGTGCATGATGTTTCGTCAGCTAACTGCAAAATTTAATTGATGGTTAAAGACAGGTGAGTATGCTTGCATATTTACTTGTACAGTCTCCGCCAGCGTAGCCGAGAAATTGGAGATTCGTGTAACGCTCTTCTCAGTAAGATTTAGATTTTATTTGAAGTAATCCTGTAGCGAAGGGCCAGTTATTGTTTACGCAACTTTTCTTCTCTTAACAGACAGAACATTAACTACAGGCTTTAACTGTTCTTGTTTAATCGCAATGATACTTGCACCTTCATCCAATAGCTTGAAGTCAAAAGAAAAATTTAACGCAGCATCATGTTTGAACACGGACAATAATTCCAACAGCATGCCGGTACTTCTTTCAACAGACTCAATTGTTTCAAACGTCCATACTTCGATATCACTTTCATTCTCTTCTCCCAATTCCTCGTCCTCACCAGAATCACCATCAGAATCTTCCCCTTCGTCATCCGGTACAGTTTCATGCGCACCTGCAATGTTTAAATGCTTTTCTAGAGTATCATACAAGTCTTCATTAACTTCAGTAGTTGTGACCAGCTTTTCAAACGAAGAATCAAATTCTTTTGGTTCAGAATATAAAACTAATAAACCCAAATCGCAATTAGCGCAGTCATGGTTTGATGGAAGGTAATCATTAATTAAGCTTTTTAAAGAAACTTTTCCGTTATCCTTGATCAAATCCAGCTGAGCACTTTTTGGATCGTCTGGGAACATTGGCACACAATCCAAAGCATTAACATCACCTTCTAAACGGAGATATCCATACTCCCATGCATCACTGCGTTCATCTCTTGGAATCATCGTCTCATCAAATCCCGGAATACACCAACTTTTCTTCTCAAACAAGTCAGATTTATCAATCAGGTGTTTCCACCAGTAAACCAATTTCCTGTTGCTATTATTCTTACTGAAGCCCTTCTTTTCATTTAATTCTTCTGATTCTGGAAACAAATAAGAAGGATTTGCACGGGCTAGAATATGAACTTTTAGTGCTCCATAACAAGACTGTTTCATCAAATCCAAATAAGCGGTAATGACTATCGTAATGAAATCTCGCTGATGTTTTCTTGGTTCGAATAATCCTGTAGTGTCTATGCGAGAAATGTACACAGTGACAAGAGGTGAATGATCAGAATCTTCGTAATAGGAAATGTACTCAAAAGACTGCATTCCGAAAACCAAACGACCGTTCTGCAGCGCCAATAGAAGCCTCTTAGATATCAGCGTCTCTTTAATATTCTTGCCATTATTACTCTTGAGGAAATCAGGGCCAAGCTTTTCATGTTTTGAGACGATTGTAACGAACTTTACTTCCGATGATTCATTCTGATGCTCCGTAGAAGAGGTTATGCTGAGCTTGGAGCATGCCTTCTTAATAAATTGACCCAAGTTATTAGTAAAAGTTTCTGTTTCAACAGTCATAACAGTTTCAAGATGAAGTTTCGCTTGCAAACAGATCAAGCAAATGGAGGCGCAGCCAACAAAAAGGTTTCTCTTCCAAAAACTAACATAGGGCCCAACCGGGAATTGAACCCGGGACCTCATCGACCCTAACGATGAATCATACTACTAGACCATTGGGCCTTTAGGTGCCATGGAAGAATACTAAAATTCGGCCAGACCATGTAGCGAAACAGAAGCTGAGCGATGCATCCATAATCATCTAGTTCATTCAATAGGTATTAAGCGTGTAATTGTTGTGTAAATATTGGACGTAGACGGTCAAATACTTTAAATATCGCGATTTAAAGT